TTCATTAAGAGAATGCAACTATATATCTATCGCAACCACTTTGAATACACAGATACAAAATGGACATTCATAGTTATACCCCAATTTTTTTTAAGTTCCGTTGTTGAATATTATAGGTGTGTAAACTATATGCAAACATAGGAATTTTAACCTAGGAGAGTAAAGAAGGATATATAGGTTAGCAGAAAATTTCAGTTCAGTTTTGGAAAATGTACAGCTATTAAGGAAGCTAATCTAAACTCATTGTAATGCACCCCTGCTCACTTCAGGAGATCTTAAAGTGATGGCTGACAAGCTGCTATTGAAACCATAGTGAGCATGTTACACTGTATTTCCTGGGCCAGCCGTGCAGATAATACCACCTATAGCACAAAACACACAGCAGGGAATTCAGAGCACTGGCAAAGAAGTTACCCCAGCTTGCCACAGGAGGGTACCAAGGGATTTTTCCTTCTTACATGTGCTCTTGCTTCCTCATCTCAAAATAGCTAATGCACTATGAAATAGTGTGGTGAAACTATGTATACATGTTCTTTCTTATTAGAAGTAAAATATGCCTATGAGAGAGTATCCTTTTGCCTTTTGTGTGATCTAAAGTTGAAGTTGTATTTCCTCTTGTTGGGAAGACATTGAAGCCCAGTAAACACTGATTGGAATGGCAAAGACTACAAATATTTCCTGATGTAAATTTCATAAGTCTCAAAAAAACTTTAAAATGTGTGCAGGGTTCAACCTACTGCCAGAGTTCTGAAGCATTCAATTAATAGATACTTATTCAGGGCTTTTATTTCTTACATCAGGCAGGTAAAAGCCAGTGTAGTAAGTGCATCAGTATAGAGAGCCCTTTGGTTGTCACCTATGTCTGAAAAGTTTATATTTGTGATCCCATGGAAAAGTTATTGGAATTCTAGGGAGTTAATTCCAATTTGCTACTTCCAATGCAACCCATGAAGAAAATAAGGACACTAAGGCATATTTGCAGTTTTGGAGAGCCAAGGAGTTCCCAAGGCCAGAGAGGATGATGGCTTACAGCAAAGAGGGTCTCAACCTAGTTCAAACCTGAATTTTATTCATGAAAATTGCGGTGACTTGAAGATGAGTGACATTGGGAATGGTGGAAAATATGTGAGTCTCATGAACCGTTAGGTAGGTGATAAGAAATTACCTTTGCTATACTTGGAGAGTGTGATGTCCAGAAGTAGTCTACATAACATGATTTGAGATAGTACGTAATGTTCTGGGGTTGTTGCTTCTGTTCTGATGTGTGAACATTTATGCCCTGGGAAATCATAGCCTCTTTTCTCTCATGGATCAAAACCAGCCACAGCTTTGAGCATGGCTCTCCATCCCATCCTGGCTCACACAAACTTTCTGGGAATATCCAACTAACCTGTCACCTTACTTCAAAGACTATATGTCAGCACCATGCAGGACCAATTTTTGTGCTTCAAGCCAATTGTAGAGATAAGAAAAAGTAGTATGACCAATTTGAATTGCTTAAATCCTAGTGAAGGGATAAGGAAAGGTCCAGGACCAATTTGCATTCTGTAAAGCCAATTAAAGAGATGAGGAGTCCAGCTGCAATGGTAAACATGGCATCAGGTGCTCAGATAAAGAGGATAGGTCCTAAGTCAGAGCTGACTGAAGAGCAGAAACAGGAAATCTGGGAAGCTTTTGATGTCTTTGATGCAGATGGGAGTAGGACCATTGGTATAAAGGAACTAAAGTTGTCAATGAGAGTCCTGGGCTTTGAGCCCAAGAAAGAAGAAATCAAGAAAATGATAAGTAAAATTAATAAGGAGAGGACAGACAAAATGAACTTCAGTGATTTTCTGACCATGATGATACAGAAAATGTCTGAGAAAGACACCGAGGAAGAAATCCTGAAAGCTTTCAAGCTTTTCAATGTTGATAAACCCAGACAATATCATTCAGAAATCTGAAATGTGTGGCCAAGGATCTGTGCAAGGATTTGATGGATGAGAAGCTTCAGGAGGTGATTGATGAAGCTGACCAAGATGGAGACAGTGAGGTCAACGAGCAGGGGTTCCTGCGCATCATGATAAAGTCCAGCTTCTAGTGAGACCAGTGTTGCATCTCCTGCTGAAAGCACATGTGACTAGGTTAGTGTCTGTTGTCCTGTGAAATCTGGCTCTGCACTTCCCTGTATAACTTCATGGCCTTGAATCTGACTTGGCTTCTGGAAGTGTTTTTCAATATTAAAGTTGTTTGTAAAATGGAGAGAGAGAGAAAGAGAGAGAAAGAGAGAGAGAGAGAGAGAGAGAGAGAGAGAGAGAGAGAGAGAGAGAGAAAGTACTAGGCATCTCTGAACATATCAATACATGGAAATAGGACCAGGTTTAGCCAAAATGGAAATAATTCCTCTTCTTTCAAGGGTGGTGACACAGATGGTCCACATATAACATTTGACAAATGGTTATATTTTGAGCAGTTGTATGTTGTCCTGTTCTAAAGGGCCTCTTGGAACCTGGTCTTTGAATCAGATACAATCAGATATAACTGATTAGAGGCTTAAAGTTCTTTACATTTGTCTCTGTTTTAGTTTTCCTGACAAGTAACTTTCAGTTTTGATCTTTCCTATAACTTGGGAATGGGACATGCACATTGAAACAGTCTGTGCATTTTATTAAATGTGTAATTAGACATTAAGATCTGGAGCAGGGTAGAGAGAGAGAAAGTGAAATGTAGGAAAAAAGAATAAACTGTCTGGGGATGGATCTGCAATTGCTAGTTAGGAATTTGTCTGTTTCATGATAAATAGGCTAGGACACAGGTGTCTGTTTATATCCTTTTTATTTCTGTAACATTTATTGTAGAGACCAGATTCATTCCCATTTTAGAGATGAGAGATGTGGTTTTTCTAGGTTTTCTTTTTTCTTGTGATTTTGATTTTGTTGTTCTTGTTTGTCTTTTTCCAGCACAATTAAAAATGTTGATTTTTGTGGAATTTTTCATATGGACCATTATCTTCCTCTGAATGGGCCATCATTAAACTAAGACAAAGGCTATAGCATCTCAAATTCTACAGATCTTTTGTAATTATTCCCAGCTCCAAACTTTAATACATTTCATTTCTCTGAACACTCCTAGTCCATTCTTGACTGTTTGCTTACATTTCTACCTAATTTTTACCTAGTAAATCTTTTTCCTATCTCTTACTTATATGTCTTGAAATTTTTTCCATCATGAGTCTGAAAACCTGCACACATATTCTATGGGTTGGATGGGATTGGGAACTTATTTGAGCTCAGGAACCTCTTGGGATCATGTCTAGTAACAAGTACTAATCCCTCTTCAAATCTTCATCACCTCCCATCTCTTAAAGAGTCCAGCACATTTCAGTATCACTGAGTTCAAAGCTACAGTAAATGAACCTGTGGACCACTCACATCAAATTGTAATTAAACTATAGTCATCTTCCCAGGACTTCTTGTTTCCACTGACAATAGAGTTTATACAGACAATAGAGTTTATTTTGCATAATTGTTGTCAGTACTGCATTTACACATAATGTAAGACATAATTACAAAAATAAAGGACTAGCCAGATAGTTTAGTGGATTAATGCACCCACTTAGGCAGAAGCAGGGACCCAGATTTATGTTGTGCCAGCCCCACCCCCACGGCACACTCACATGGTGATTGAAACTGGGCATGCTGGCATACACCTGTAATTCCAGCGCTTGGCAGGCTGAAAACATGAGTATCACTATGAGTCCAATCTGTGTAGTAAGACCCTGTAGACTCTGTACTAAATACATATACATATACATATATATATGTATTTTTACATATGTACTTTTTATATATGCACTTTTTTTTTACAACTGTTCACTCAGCAAAGAAATGCAGCATAGCAAGGTACTTTAAAAAGATTTTGTGGGGGTACATCAAGAATTCTCATAACTTCTGGGACTGTGGCCACTTCTTCAGTGTCCAATGGCTGTTTTGTGTTTAAACCAAACTTTAAGGAGATATATCTCTCCATACCCATGCAGGAACACTTTAATAAAGGGAAAATGAGTCAGAAGACAGTAAGGTTCTATTTTAAACTGATCACTTGGTATTGCTACAGATGAAATTCGAAACTGACTTCAAGAATAATTAAATAAAACCTGCTCAACAGTCTGATTAAATTTCTGCAAAAGTCTCATTCTACATTCCAGAAGAATGTATGGGACTGGGCCTGTCAAGTAAAACTTTAAAAAATTCCAACAGCTGCTCTTGTTCATTGTGTGAATGTCGCCGATTGTGCTTTAATATTCAAACGTCTAACAGAGGCGCTTCATAATAATATCACACCACATGTAGTCTCTTTGCAAGCTAAAGATTGTCCAGATATAAAATGTTTGCAAAAGTTGGTCTCACAGTTAATGGATTGCTCTGTCAATTGAAAACCTGAAGAAGGGGAACATATTCAGGTCACTTAGAAAAAGACACATCAGTCAATGAACTTGCTTTACAGTTGGTGCATGATTGTTACACAGAAGACAGATATAAAAATGCCAAGCAAAAGAGAACTGCCACTTCTAGTCGGTGGCAGTTTCCTCTTGCTGTGCTTATATTACAGAATATGGAAAGCTGGTCCACAAAAGTATATCAAGACTTTGTAGCTATCAACAGTCAACATCTACATGAATTTCCACCACTACTGGTTTTTGGGATCTCCACATTTATTAACTTCTCTCCATTGTTTCCTCATGCTGTGTCATCTCTGTTGTGTATAGAACTGTTCCAGTCTTTTTGCCCTGCAGAGAGCACCTGACTACAGTCCTTGACCGGCTAGTTGTTACAACTCAGTTTCTCTCTAAAATAAGTGAGAAAGCATTACAAGTTCTGACCAACATCTTTGGATATCATGATTTCTCAATTCAAAACTTTGTAAGACTTTAACTCTCTCATTGAAGAATTTTTATTCTGAGCCCTTAAGTATTCTGTGCTTCAGTCTCCCAGATACCAAGAGAAGAATAAACTTTTTTCTGTTAACCCATGTGAAAACATCCAGTGTATTCCATTATTTAGGAGGTACACAGAAAAATAAGCTTCAGAATAGCATGTTGCACTACTGATCAATGGCAGATTTTTGAAGGTGTAAATACAATCATTACTAGAAGATCTACATATCTATCATATGAATTACTTCCTGGTTTTGAGATGTCTTCATTATTTCACTTCTTCTCTTCACATATACCAACTGTGTTGACAATTCAGGGTTTTACTACACACATTTAGAAAAGAGTATATGGGATTCAAAGGAGTACGTATTAGTCATGCATATGAACTAATGACTCTTCTTCAGAGTTATTTCATGGCTTCCTGTTCCTCTTCTGAAAACCAGCTTAGCAGCACAAGAAAGAGGATGAGGTATTCCTGTCCCAGTTCCAGAGCCTTGGTGATGCCAAACAAGAGGATGCTTCTGGGTCACAGCCAAAAGTGCTTCTGAGGACAGACTTCTATCATTTTCAGAAATCCTTACTGGAAATGAAGGAGTTAAGAAGACCAAGTAAGAAGCAAAGCAAGTTTGTAGTACTCAGAGAAAAGTTGTGCATTTCATTGACCCTTTGGTAAGAGAATATCTTTTGCTTCCTGAAACTCAGGCTGTGCATGAAGTTTTGAATTTCAGTGCTGCCCACACTCTGGGAGCACTTTAACACCACCCATAAATTGATTTACACACTACACTCAGTAATCTTTTTAATGTTTTTTTAAAAATAATCTTTATTGTTATCCAAAGAACAAAGCCCTAAACAGTGAAGAGGACTGCATTTCAAATATCATCACTGCCAGCTTCATAGCACATGTACACAAACTGCACTTGGAGTGTAGTAGAGGGATCAGCCTGTGACAGCTGCTGAAAAATGGATACAAACTCTATGGCCTGAGAGAAGTGAATGAAATAATCCATACTTGCATTGTTAAATCTATTTCTGAACTAGAACTTTTAAGACTTTTAAAGCCTACCAAACAGAAGACTTACCATATGGCAAGGCTAACGTGGGGAGGCTACAAAAAGCAAATAGATGAAACTACAGGGATCACATTTAGCTTAAGACAACAAGAAGCACAGTCATGCTTATATGCCACTAGAGGAGTCTATTTTCAAGAGAAAAATGGGTAATTCCCTTATGATATTTAAGCAAAAAATATACTGCTAACCTCAAACAGGTATATATTAAAACTTTGGAGTAGTTTAGAAATAAAAAAATAACATGCATAAATTATAATTAAAATATCTCCTACATTAAAAATAGGTTTGGGATCGAGTTTGCTGATATTCATATTAGCACTAAGGTTTAAGGCAGTCGAGGATGCCTGTCTGCGGATCAGATAATAATATCTGTCAGACTATTTGGGTCAGAGGAGTCAACACAATGCACTGGAAAAGAAGTTACTA